CAGGGATTTTAACAATAAAGAGATTTATCTAAAATGTTTATTTTGATGCATAAAAAACATTTTATGATTTTGTAAAATAATTTTGACTCTTTGAGAACCGAGACTTGAATTGATTATCGGTTTTGATCACAAAAGACCGACTCGACTAAGTCTTCAATTCTTGATCTGTCCTTGAGTCTTTTAGGTCTTGTTCCAAGCCATTCTTCACGCCTTGAGTTATTCAACGAAACTCTTCATATCCACGGCGGTTTGGCAATTATCAAAACCTGTCAGAAATGAACACGACTTTAGTTTAACGTACAAAGTGTGTTCCAACAGATGGGGCGAGATTGTCGGGATGGATGTGACAAGTTTTGAAACAATTTATGATATGTCAATATTAAAATCGCTTCCGCAATATTGTTGAATACTCCGTATTGTATATGTATTGAAAAATATTATTGGGATTAATAAAGTGTGTTTGAAAAGGTTTAAATTTTTACGATTACCAAGTTAAATACTTTAGTCCGAATGGGGCTGCAGACCTGGACGGATTAGGGTGTTACAAAAAATGTTGACGTTGCTTGCCTGTGGTTACCTTCCCGGAAGTCAACAGGGCACGAATGGTATGAATCAAACCTTTAAACAAAAAAAGAATATATTACATGATCGGTGTGCAGAATGGTTATACAGGATAAGTGAAATGTGGAGTAAAATGGTTTATAACAATGAGAAGTACTGAACATAAATGAATTCAGTGGTTCTTTAAGATACCAAAATTGGAGTGCACATGTGTGTGCAAAGATTGGTGTGGAACGTGTGTGCAGATTGGCAGTGATTTTTGTGTTTATATATCTTGTGGTTGATGTGGGCAATGTACTAATGGCTATGCAGTAGTGTGTGAAAAAAGGCAGGTTGGGGGCGTGTGGGGTTCTAACACTGCCTTTTTTTTAATTTTGGGGTTTTGTGGTTGTGGAAGTGATTTGGTTGTAAAAATTTGATTATAAACGTGTGAAATCAGCAAGTGGTATGGTAGTGATGGCACACTGCGCGCCTGTTTGGTATGGTTGTATTGGCCATGTGGGAAGTGTAATGTGTGTTCTATGCACGAATGTGTGAAAACGCAGGGAGGGGTGGGGTGGAATATACTGCCATTTTTAGTAAGGGTGGCATGGGTGTTAGTAGTTTTTTAATTTGGGGTACACACATGTAATGGCAGTGATAGATATGGAAGTGAGTGCAAACGGGGGGGATGTTTATTGTGTTTGCATTAAAATTAATGTACTCAAAGTAGTATTTACCTGCGTATCTGGAACAACGGGGAATTGTCAAGACTAACCGCACGAACAGCCCATGAACACCTCGCATCAACGCATACAACGTGCAACACCGTTCTATTTGACCTCTTTGTCTTGTACTGAAAACTATTAGACACTGCATACATTTGTAGATGGTGGCATAAGTCTTCCTTGGACTTGTAAATGCTGTCAACTTGAAAAGTGGTTGGGTGATAGTGTGAAATAACTTCCACTGGATTTGCTGGATGTCTCCTTCTTTTGGTTCGGCTGGTCCGTTTCATGCTGTTTGAGTGATCCGACTTTCCACTGGAGATTTTGTTTGGCATGTAGTTTGTGTTGCTTTGGCCCGTTAAGTTGGGAGTGGAGTCCACACTATGTGAATTGTAACAGATGTAGCTGTGAGGGCAGGAGCACATGATGAATTGGCTTGACCATTTAGCTGAGCAACTGTAGCACTAGGTAAAACCTCCATGCATATTGGCAGGTATGACACGTCATTTTGGTAAGACTTCAGCCTCAGGTAGAATAGTAGTTCCGAATCGTCCGCAATAACGATAGGCGGTGGACATAAGGCAACCATGTAGGAGAAGCGAATATCGTTTTGAGACCAGTCCATGGAAATGTCAGCTTTGATGGTGTCCATGAGCGATTTCAAAGAGACCTCATTACGGACATCAATAACAGTGTCATACTTCGAATTGAAGTTTCCAAGTGTATCCCACGTTCCATCAACACGCACCAATACCTTAATATGTGAGTCCATGCCTGTTGAGCCTTGAACAGATCAAATGCTATATATGGTCAGAGAGATTAAGGAATATGCTGAGTTAAATGGTTCGGATTTATTTTTGTGGTATCATGAGAGTGGGTGAAAAATACTTGGTCTTGTATTTGTTAACATATAGGTTCGGACCGCCATAAGAAGAAAAACAGTGACGATAAATTGCATTTTGCGTTGGTAATGTTGATTTTGAGAGACAGAAAAGTGTGCACGTAATATTAGAAATCAGTATAAATGTAATAGAAGAAATCTTTTTTTAATGGATGCAGTACGGCTTATTTAGACTGGCTCAATTGTTGGGAGAACAAAAAATAGAGATGGCCTTGAACAAAAAACAGGATTTTTTTTCCGAAATAACTTAACATTGGAGAATAAGACCAACACAATAACTAATCACGGGTTTGAATAAACACTAGACAGTTGCAGCCGCTCTTCCCAAACATAACAAATCAGAATTAGGGCGAAATCATGCGAAAATTAACTAAAAAAAATAAAAGATGGAATAACATGAGGCAGCGGTCTGATGATGTGCGATAGACATAACAACTACAGAAATTAACCTGAATGTCCGAGGTGTGCCAGTAGGTGATGTGAGTTTCCGGCGAATTTCTACTGAAATAAATTTGAATGCTGTGAAATTCTTTGGAATTAGGTTGGAGAATCCGAACCTTATAGTGTTTTCGGATATGCAGCCGGCCAGAATGCTTCCTGCGATTGTATGGTTGTGGAGGTAGGATAACCATCGTTGTTTAGTGTAGTATTAGGCGATGAGGTTGTAACAGCTGATGAATAACTCCCTCCTCAATTAACGCAGGTGAAGGAGAGAGTGGCGCAAATCACTCTCCCTGGATTTGCTCATGTTACAGATAAAATGGTATGAAAGGCTAATTTTGGAATATTAAAAAGTGTATGGTGTTCGAAGTGCTACAAAAGTAGGGAAGGGGATATGAGTGCTATATAAGTATTTTATAATAGTTAATGGTGCTATATTGGATGATTTCATATTATATTATACTCCGTACTATAACCATGCACACGTTTTTTATATAACCTAGTCACACGGTAATCATATAATTTTATAATTATGGTAAGAATAATCATACACACGTTTTTAATAACATTGATTGGCGTGTATTAAACTTTATAAATATTTTTTATAAATTTTTTTTGCGTATTAATAATAATTAGTCTTAATGAATTACATTTTTTATTTAATTCGTAATTACGTCAGTCTATATTATCACCTTTTTAAATAATAATCAGTCTTATTTAATATAATAGTTTTAAATTTTTATCATTAAAGGAAAAAAATAAGACTAAATTACCATTTTTAAAGTAAGGAAATAAAAAATCTGAAAATTACCTTTTTTGCTTAATTCATAATTACGTCAATCTATATTATTAATATTTTTAATAATAATCAGTCTTATTAAATATAATACTTTTAAATTTTTATCATTAAAGGAGAAAAATTTTAAAAATGGTAATTTCTGGATTTTTATTTCCTTACTTCAAAAATGGTAATTTTAAATAATTATGACAGTTAATAATTATAAATATAATGTAATAATTATACTTATAAAATGTAAATTTTATATTAATATAATTTCAGACACACCATTTAACTTCATATTACCATATGTAATGACTATAGTCTTTGGGCGGAAAAACACAATATTGACTCCATGTCTTTTTAAATAAAGTATGGATTGCCATTTGTAAATGTAATTACGCATGGAAAATTAATCACATGCGTAAGTTTTTTTAATAATTATAATTATATTTTCAGCCATTTACCATTTTAAGTGAACAATTGCCATTTGTTAATGTAATAAAAATTACCATTTTAAGTGAACAATTGCCATTTGTAAATGTAATAACGCATGGAAAATTAAGCACATGCGTAAGTTTTAAATAATTATTATTATATTTTCAGCAACTTACCATTTTAATTGTACAATTGTCATTTGTTAATGTAATAACGCATGGGTGGGAAAACCATTTGTTGACTCCATGTCTTTTTTAAATAAAATATGGATTTTATAATTGGTCCTTTATAAAAAAGATTTCATATTTAGTCATCTATTATAAAATATTACCTCTATAACATTTCTTTTATGCGTACTTTTTTCGTAAATGCTCTTTTTTATGTTCTGTCATGTTGACGTTAATTTAAAAATTAAAAGTATAATTTGACATCAATCTTATGTCTAGTAATTATTGGTTAGATGGATAATACAAAAATAATAAATATGATTATGGGCTAGAATTTCAACAAAAGACCTCATTTGTAGATTATGGTTGTAGTAGAAACGAATGCAATTTATAAACGACGCATCAAGAGTGGTCTTTGAAATTGTGTATAACAAGAAAGATATATTTTCATTACAAAATTACATTTTTAGCCATCAAATTAATAGTAACATGATAGAAAATAAAAAGAATTATTTATAAAAAGATACCCATAAAATAAAACCACATGAATAACATTTGATAATAAATGGCTAATTAGAGAATCCCTATTATAAAAAATTAATTTTGGAATTTAGTAGAGTATTAATGGGGGGCCAAATATTACTGAAATAGTGGTGCCCCAATATAGTAGTAGGACGGTTTCTAGCCACAAAAAAAGTGACGACTGTAGCTCTCAGCTGCCGTCTTCATAAACGCAGAAGCCCTCAAACACTTCTTTCAGCTGGCCGTCAAAAATGGAGTCTACTTGCGCGCGCTCAAACCTTCCTCACATTCCAAGTTCAATCTCCAAATGCACGCTCAGATCGCGCGCAATCCCCTCCGCGGCCGCCGCTTTTTCCAAGGGTTTCAGCCGCTCCATCACCATTAGCAGCGGCGCATCAAGGCGGCGTTGCCATGCGGCCTCTGTCGTCCGCTGCCAGTCCTCGCGCAGGCCAGATTACAGCCCCAATCGGATCTCGGATCCCAAGTACGTTCGTATTTTCGACACGACCCTCCGGGACGGCGAGCAGTCCCCCGGAGCCACCATGACCACCAAGGAGAAGCTCTACGTAGCCCGACAGCTCGCCAAGCTCGGCGTCGACGTGATTGAGGCTGGGTTTCCCGCTGCCTCACTGGCAGACCTTGAAGCCGTCAGGGTGATTGCTGAGGAGGTTGGCTGTGGGGAGGGCGATGATGTGCCTGTCATCTGCGGCCTTGCCAGGTGCAGTAAGAATGACATAGACAAGGCGTGGGAGGCCGTAAAGCACGCGAAGAAACCTAGAATCCATACTTTCATTGCCACAAGTGAGATCCACATGAAGGCCAAGCTCAAAATGACCAAGGAGCAAGTGATGGAGAAGGCAATTAGCATGGTCAGTTACGCCCGGAGCCTGGGCTGCCCTGATGTTGAATTTAGCCCTGAAGATGCCGGCAGGTTAAATCATTTCATTTCCCTCCATATATTGTTGTCTATGGCCTTTGTGTACACAATGTATATGCCCTTTGTACAGTATCTGTTAATTCTCCTGAGTCTTCAGAATATAGATTTTGTTGTGTCTGGATACAGCTAGGAAAAATACTCTGTAGTAGGATCTATAAGCTTCACATTATATTGATGCTTCAATATTTAATCTTTGGTAACCAGCTAGCTGTAGCCTGTAGAATATTGATTTCTATATTAAATTTGAGAAAACTTGGCTAAGTATTTGATTTTTTTTTAGAAGTTTGTAATTGAATTTCAACACATCTACTACGTATTAGTTTATTTATTTCTGTATTTTTCATGTGAGGGTGCATTGGCATTTTCTTTAGCTCTGATTTAGGGGTACTTTTATTGATTCCTTGGCGGAACCAACAAGTACTCACGTACTGTGTCTACTGGCTATTCACTAGAGTTTCTTTGAGGCCATAACTGTGAAAATATTTAGGCGAGGCATTTCCTAAGGGAATGATTTTCAAACGTTCTTTTTCCTGTCCCCCCTCGCTGGCTTACTAAAGATGACTACTCCAGCCACTATTAGAGTGATCCAGAAAAATTCAGCTTCTCTTTGCTGGCACACTAACACCTCTTTTATATTCTTTTGTTTTCAAGACTTCAATAAGAGAGAAAATGGGTGCAAGAGTTCACGTGTTCTAGAAATTCTTATACAGTCTCACTCACTTATCTAGGTGATGAATTGCTCTTGCACTCATTAGAAGAGTACTGCATGTTTATTGATTCTTCGGTGGACTTGTAGTATCTCTGGTCTACCTATGAGACCTAGAGTCCCAAAAGATATATTACATGTGATTCTTAGTTAATTTCAAGAAATGTAGTGTTCAATAGTGTCAAAAGCAGTTGCATCCTTTAGTGCTAAAGGCAATGGTAATTGCAAACTGCTTCTATAACAAGCAACATGTACTAGCTAATCATTTACAGTTCAAAAGATATTCTTAGAATTTTATTTGCTCTAAGGGCCTCATCTGGAATTATGTTTGCCAAACAACTTTGTTCATGTTTAACATGGGTAGTCTTTTCAAGGTTTATGCCTATTTTACATAACCTTCCACTCTTTCCAGATCTGATAGGGAGTTTCTTTATCAAATACTTGGAGAAGTTATCAGAGCTGGAGCAACAACCCTTAATATCCCCGATACCGTTGGTTATACAATTCCCTCAGAATTTGGACAGCTGATTGCTGATATAAAAGCCAACACCCCTGGAATTGAAAATGTTATCATTTCAACACACTGTCATAATGATTTAGGGCTTGCGACANTTTTACATAACCTTCCACTCTTTCCAGATCTGATAGGGAGTTTCTTTATCAAATACTTGGAGAAGTTATCAGAGCTGGAGCAACAACCCTTAATATCCCCGATACCGTTGGTTATACAATTCCCTCAGAATTTGGACAGCTGATTGCTGATATAAAAGCCAACACCCCTGGAATTGAAAATGTTATCATTTCAACACACTGTCATAATGATTTAGGGCTTGCGACAGCCAACACTTTAGCTGTATGTAGCCTTTTATCTTCATTGATGAAATCACATACAACGATACAAGTGAGTTCAATCGACCGTAATGTTGGAGCTCATTTTTCAGGGAGCATGTGCAGGTGCGAGACAGTTAGAAGTGACCATAAATGGCATTGGTGAGAGAGCTGGAAATGCTTCATTGGAGGAGGTGGGTAATATCATAAATGGGTTTGGGCTGTAGTGACTAACAACCCCCTTGAGTTGGAGGCTTGGAGCACTTATATTGACATGCCCAACACGTTATAATGATATTCCACCCAAACCCCATTCAGTGTGTGGGAAAAAATAAATCCAATAGTTTCTTCCTGCCCCTCCACATATTGCAAACCATGCTTTTTGTAACTTTTTTTTTGGACCAAAATGACATTTGACCACATATTGCTATCTCTCATTAGTAATTGTAAAAATATTTCTAGCTTTGTTAATTTGAAACATTTTGCCTTGTTGATACAATGCCAAGTTGTATGATGATATTTAGCCTTTATTTGCGTATTCATCCTGTTTGATGATTTTAGACAGCGTTTGGGTTCTCTCTACTAAAGCTCACATAGTCGGAATATTTCTGTTTTTAAGGTTGTAATGGCTTTGAAATGTCGTGGCGAGCATGTGTTAGGTGGTCTTTATACCGGGACAAATACACAAAACATTATGATGACAAGCAAGATGGTATTAAACCTATGATATCTTTATATAATATAAAAATAAGAAGATGATTATTTAATTTGTTTATTTGTTTCACATCTTGGTTATCACATGCTCAGGTAGAAGAGTATACTGGTCTACATGTCCAGCCACATAAGGCCATCGTTGGCTCTAATGCATTTGCTCATGAAAGTGGTATCCATCAGGTTAGTGTTATTATCCAAACTATAAAATCAATGCATGATTTGCTTAGAACTGTACATTGCATTGTTCCCTCCTTTTTATTTCATTGATTCAACAGATGCTAATTCATTTTGCAACGTTTTGAAGATAATCAGTATAAGATATTTAGCTAATAATCAGTGAGCCAGCATCAGAAAAGAAACAGATGAATATATATTTTTTCCAGAATGCCAATTATATGATATTTGAAGCTTACCATAGTATATTACAACTCTCAAGGCTTTAAAAAGAGGAAGAAAAAAAGGGTAACCATCTAGTCATTAGCCATGAATTTCGAAGGTTATGATATATTTTGAGGGAGAAGGTTATGAATATTAATTGGGCAGTTTTCCATAAATGATGATTACATGTTTTGCAAATTTGTTCTATAGTTTTTAAAATATGTTATTTTGCATCGATATTGTTGAACACTTGAAATTAAAAGTATATATTAATGAAGTGTAGAACTATAATAACTCTCTGTTCAGAAAACATGGTTTTAGCCCATCATGCCTCCATTAAATACTCCCTCCGCTACTAAATAAACTTTACTTTATGGTATACAAATATGATGTTTGATTACATTTATTTACAATCCAATTTGTTAATTTTGTTTGAATATTTGTGTAACAATAAACAGTAAAGTTTACTTATCCTCGCAATATTCTCAAGTATCTTGATATGGACTATAAGCTATGCTATGTAAGAGAAATGTTAATGATATTTTTATCCTTTAACAAAGTGAAACCGTTTTGAACCACGTAATACTGTTTCTAACCACTGTTATGCATCTAATATATATATATATACACACACACACACACACACATATATATATATCCCTCACCCTTTACTCATGACGTCTTTAACCTTAATCTGTATTCTTCTTTCTAGGATGGAATGCTAAAACACAAAAATACGTATGAGATAATATCTCCACAGGATATCGGGCTTCGTCGGGAAAATGAATCTGGTATTGTCCTTGGGAAGCTCAGGTATTCTGTATTTTCTCCCTGAAATGATTGATTGCTTGTTCTCAATCCACTTTATGGGTGATAACTGATAAGCAAATCCCCCCCAGAGTCGATCTTTGTAAATGTATGACAGTTAAATTCATTTGATTCTTCTACTCTTTCCAAATACTGCTTCATTATGCTTTATGGTCTTGATTTTCTGTGCAAATCGTATGACAGTTAAATTCATTTACTCTTTAAGATTCCTACCATTTCCCTTTTTCTCGCCTGCAGCATTCTATATGATGACTCACATTTGATCTATTAACTTATTGAATATTCACATTTCACAGTGGGCGCCATGCTTTGCAAGCGAAAATTATGGAGGTATATTGAATTGGCGTTTACCACAGGAGATCTTAATGTGTCCCCATTTTTTCCCTTGTGCATATAAGTTTTAACTTTTATTTGTTTTACAGCTTGGTTATGAGATTGAAGGAAAGGAACTGGAGGACCTCTTTTGGCGTTTTAAATCTGTTGCTGAAATGAAAAAGGTGAATTGAAATCACTGATATTTATTGATCTTCATATTTTAAAACCATCCACGTTTTTTCATTTTAGTTAATAGATGAGATTTAAACCGAGGGCTTATTACATAGAAAGCCATTCTTTGAAATCTATTGCTCTATTGTGGTATTTTTTCTTCTAAATTTCCTTTTAATAAACAGTTGCTCTTTCTACAACTCTCTCATCAATGTTGTCGATGATGCTTCTCAATAATTTCTTTGATATGAGCTCTATATGACACATAATAATATGAGGTGGTTCTCTTTAACAAATGTTTAGAGCTTAAAAAAATACTAGAGACTGAGCAACTGTTAAAAAGTGAGCATATATATTTACTGTTGAAAGAAACCTTGAAATAGTTGTGCATGATGAGTCTATGTAGACAAGGTATCCTTGATTTCTAAAAGATTAGAAGAGAGCATGTGTGATACGTTATTAGCTACTATCACATATTTGTAGCAACCTTAATACTGGTGATGTATCAATTCAAATCATTTGATGTACTGTCAGAAAGTAACTGATGAGGACGTAATTGCACTAGTATCAGATGAAGTTTTCCAGCCGCAAGTGTTTTGGAGACTTGGGGATGTACAGGTTTATATCTTTACCCTCTGCAAAAGTATTTTATTTTCTAACTTCAATTCTTGTGAATGAGCTCAAGCATTATATCTCAATTGTAATGATGCAATACACCATGTGTAGGTAACATGCGGTAGTCTTGGCCTCTCAACGGCAACTGTTAAGCTCTTTGATGCTGATGGTGAAGAGCACGTTGCCTGTTCTGTTGGGACAGGCCCTGTAGATGCCGCTTATAAGGCGGTTGATCTAATTGCAAAGGTCTGTAATGGAACATGCTACTATTTGACCGCATATTCATTGCAAAACTTAAATGGCAGACACATCATCACTTTATGAATTGATTTTGACAAAACATGGTGCTTTTTTGGCAAAAGCTTCAACATTTGGACATAGCATTTTGAACTACCTTAGCTTTAGCATTTTCAAAGCTAATGAGCACCATTAAAAAATTATGTGCTACCTAAATATGTTATTCTCAAACAAGGCCTTAATCTTTTTTTTATCATTCTCTTATGGAATGCAGGTGCCAGTAACCCTCCTTGAGTACTCCATGAATGCAGTTACTGAAGGTATTGATGCCATAGCGACAACTAGAGTTCTGATCCGGGAGAACTCAACATCTACCCATGTTGTAACGGATGAGAATGCCAACCGTTCATATAGGTATGTATGAAAGCCTACTATGTCTTTGCGTCCTAATAAAATTTAAGATGGGGTAACGGTAACTAGACTAGACTTGGCTAAACCACATTAAAAGATCGAATCCAATCCATCACTTAGTTCAACTCAAGAGCTTATATACCCATTATATTTTCTTTTCACTTTTCCAAGGCGAGATACTCTCTAACACTTCCCATCAAAATGTAGTTAACACGTTCATCTCTTGGAGTCATTTGATAGTATTTCCAACTCATCTCTGGTCGTTTTTACATTATTTCCATCATCATCTTCTGTCCAATGTCAGTGGTACGGGAGCAGCTATGGATATTGTGATCTCAAGCGTGCGAGCGTATGTTGGTGCATTGAACAAGATGTTAGGTTTCCAAAAGCTAGTTTCACGATTCAACAAAACAGAGGAATCTTCTGTGGTCTAAGCGCTATCTAAGCTAAGCTTGAAGAAAAAATTGCAGTGATATTTCTTGTGCTTCTCTTGGTTCGGAGATGATTTATTAGAATATTTCAGTGGAAATGAACTGAATCTAAATTGTAATTCTCTGCAACCATGTGGTTTCATATTTACTCCGTATGTTATATTTCTCCCACTGTTTTCTTTTCATAACTCGGTTGTTCTGTCTTACAAGAAGATTTTACTAATTAAATGGTTTCCAAGTCATTGGCATAATTTTCAAAGACATTATTTCACCTTTTCCGATAGTTGTATAGATTCCAATGGGCAAATCTCATTTTTGGAAGAGTAGTCTTTTGTAATCGTTCTTTTTCTCATCTTTTTGCCTCATTTCACATATTTATGTAGGTGTTTTTTTGTACTTGTAAGTTGGTCAACATTGTATATAGGCAGTTTTTAATTTATAAGTCAACTGATGACATGTTTTCGTATATTTATAAGTTGACTTATAAGTCAGTAAAAATAAGGTCTTAGCTATTTATTTTCAATCCAGTTTTTTGACCTGATTATTTACAAAATTTTCTATCACCATTTATAACTATTTACAATTGATTTATCTATTATTTAAGTCATTTTATTTCTGCAAAAGAATATTTGATTTATTAGCACCTCCATAATCTTGTGTAGTTCATTTATTTTTGTTTTATCTTATTTTTCCAACATTAAAATTACACAATCTTGCTTTTTAATTTTCCTTGTCATGTTTCAAAATAGTGAGTCATAAGTACTCCAAATTGAGCACTAATTTACACTTTATAAATTGTGTGTTTATTTGGTTTTTAAATAGTAAAATAAATAAGCACTCTGCAAAATTGGCACATTCTTTGGATTGTATATTTCTAAATTGAACTAAATTGTGCCCGAACGAAATGCTACTTGAAGTACCTTGAGCTGAAACCAAAAGTTTTGTACATTTAATACGAACTAGTACATCACCCATTATATCCATAATTAGATTACCAGCATAATAACGTTGCTTTAATTACTTTTCAAAAAAAAAGTTACTTTATTTATTCTACTCCGTAAAAAATTAATGTGTGTGTCAAGGATCGATTCCAAGACTTTGTATGTTGCATAACGGTAAACATGGGTGTCAACAGCCAGTGTTAGGCCATTGATTGAGCATGTTAAATGTGGTGATTGATACTTGTTTGATGTATGAACATTATATTATGAATTTCTAATGAACTCTAGGGACTGACCTGAATGGATTAGTGGCAAGGTATGCCATAAGTTAGTAAGTTGGAGTCATGCAGTATCTACTTGGTCCAATGGTTGTTCGGGTAAAAACGTGTACACGGGGATCTAAGAACTGTCGTTCCGAAGGGGACAGGGATCTCACCCACCCAACGAGGAACTCCCGAGTTGGTTTGAGCTTGACCTTCGTTCCGAAGGGGAAGGTCATGACTCCCATAGGCATGTCGAATTCAGTTAAGCTTTAACCTAGCTTAGGTTAAGAGCCAAGTACGAAAAAGAAAGTAAACTAAATTAAAGAGGAAAGAACCTAATTTCATATTATTGTTATTTGTATTTTATGGATGATTATGTTATTGGTTATGCATGATATATCCTGTGTACTGTTATATTTGTTGCTAAACATGTTGCGTGCATGATATCGTATGATGATATGGGCCAGTGGGATCATCTATGGGTATAGCTGTATGTTTGATATTTCTTACTTAGCTTCAATGCTGAGCGTGTAGCGTTTGTTCCTTTGCTACACGTAGGTAATCTAGGGAATGAGGAACTTGGAGCCAATCCGGGAGGGCGATGAGGATGTTGAGATGTGTGTGGCAATATTCGACGATTTCGAATTGCTACTTATTATTTAAATTATTTTATTACTATTTAGGGCATGATTCCCAAGTTGTGTTTTGGAATATGAATTAAGCTTCCGCAATTATTTTGAATACTACTCCGATGATTGTTAAACTATGTTTTGAAATGTTTATTTGAGTTGTTTTAAAAAGTTAAGTTGTGTTTGAATTCCAATTTAGTAGCAACCCGGTTCGCTAGTCCGAGTATTCAGGTTATGCGGGTTTGGGTGTTACATTTAGCTCTTGCAATTATACACAACTTGGTAATTCACCAAATGGATGTAAAAACTACATTCTTGAATGGTGAATTGGATGAAGAAATATACATGAAACAGCCTGAAGGTTTTGTCATGCCTAGGAACGAAAATAAGGTTTGTAAGTTGATGAAGTCTCTTTATGGTTTAAAGCAAGCACCAAAACAATGGCATTGGAAATTTGATGACATAGTTTTGTCAAATAGTTTTGAATTAAACCAAGCAGATAAGTGCATATATAGCATATATATTTGATGCTTCTCGATAAGGAGTTATAATTTTCTTATATGTAGATGACATGTTGATATTTGGTACTAACCAAAATCAAGTTAATAACACCAAGGAATTTTTCTCTTCAAAATTTGCCATGAAAGAGATGGGGGAGGCTGAAGCAATCCTAGGTCTAAGGATCGAGCGTAAGGATAATGAAATTTCTATTTTTCAATCACATTATATTGAGAAGATTTTGAAGAAGTTTAATTTTAGAGATTGTTCTCCGGTCACTACTCCTATTGATCCAAGTCTAAAGCTCTTGCCTAATAAAGGTGTTGTGATATCTCAACTAGAATACACACGAGCTATTGGATGTTTGATATATGCTATGATTAGTACTATGCCAGACATAACATATGTGGTTAGAAAGCTTAGTAGGTATACTAGCAATCCTAGTTTGCATCATTGGCAAGTTGTTAACCGAGTATTTAAATACTTAAAGGGAACCATGAAATACGATTTAACTTACACCGACTTTCATTTAGTTTTAGAAGGATTCTCGGATGCAAGTTGGATAACTAATGTGGAAGATCATTCTTCCACGAGTGGTTGGATATTCCTTCTCGGGGAGGGGCAATTGGTTGGGCATCGAAGAAAGAAACTTGCATAACTAACTCTATAATGGAGTCTGAGTTTGTGGTTGTGGTAGCAACTAGTAAAGAAGCAGAATGGTTAAGAAATCTGATATATGAAATTCCATTGTAACCATAACCAATATCTCGCGTATCTATTAAGTGTGATAGTGAATCAACTTTGGCTGAGGCGTATAGTCAAGTTTACAACGGGAAGTTGAGACACTGAGGCATGAGACACAACATGGTTCGTGAGCTCATCATGCACGGTGTGTTATCAGTTGAGTTTGTAAGAACTCAACAGAATTTAGCTAATCATTTAACTAAAGGGTTAAGTAGAAACCTTGTGCAAAGATCGGTTATGGGGATTGGATTGAAGTCTATCTAAATGTCTCATGGTAAGAATCCCAATTCCCATCAAATAAGACGTTAGATGCTGAATTCAATGTGGAAAATCTTAAAATTTAGAAACCAGAACACATTAAGTATATTATCCCAAAGTATGGGTTCAGACCTGTAAGATTAAGAGGTTGAAGTATGTCTTCTTAATAGTTCTTTTGAAAAATTGCATATGCAGGTGCAAAAGTAAAAGATCTACCTATATGAGCATGGAGTTCAGCCGCTTCAAGAAGTAAAGGCTTCACTTTGATATGCTTATGAAGGATTAGGACACAAGGCTAGTAAATAATAGTGTCAAGTTAGAACATTAAAGTATGTAAACTTTTGTGTATATTATCTTCATGTATTCAAAATGAATAGAGAGGGTTCAATCCTTAGTGATAATATGATATTCGAATATTTGAAATGTGTAATGTACTAAGACGAAAATCAATTGTCACGATATTTCGTTTATGCATAAGTTTGTAGTTTGTCATGGATTTGTTTAGTTAATCAAGGATTACACTAAAATAGGGGAGAAATGTTATACTTTTTCCGTCCTGAAAAACATGGAAGTTTTGATTTTGAAGAGGGATTTAAGGAGAGTGTATTTTGGTATTGAATTTCCAACAATGTCCTTTGATGTGATGGGTAAAAGTATGATTTGATGGATAGATTATTAGTAAAAAGGTATGATGTGATATGTAGGGTATGAAAAAGTAAGGGGTAAAAGTGACTTTTTAATAGAAATGAGAAGTGTTTTTTGGGACGGATAAAAAAAGAAAGGAGAAAGGTTTTCAGGGACGTAGGGAGTATGTTTTAGTATAATTAGAAAAACTATTTGACCAATGATATCATAATAATCATCAAAGAAGTCAGGTGGTGCGGAGTGCACGCTTCATTGAGTTTGTTATGATAAAAGTCTCGTCTTAACGGGGGTTCAAAGGGGGCAACCCCTCCTTGGCGGGGTTCGGGGGTAGCACCCCCGAGCAAGGTTCAAGGGGCTGCAACCCCTGCGGGGTTCAAGGGGCTGCAACCCCTGCGGGGTTCAAGGGGCTGAGCCCCTGGCTGGTGTCGAGGATGTAAACCTTTAGCATGTAAATGGATATTCAAAATGAAAATGAAGGTTGATGGAAGAATAGATAAGTTTAAAGTCACATTGGTCATCCAAGGTTTTAGACAAAAGGAAGGTATTGATTTCTTTAATACATATGCACTTGTTGTTAGACTTTCTACAATTAGAGTGTTATTAGCTCTTGCAGCTATACACAACTTGGTAATTCACCAAATGGATGTAAAAACTCTATTCATGAATGGTGAATTGGATGAAGAGATATACATGAAATAGCTTCAAGATTTTGTCATGCCTGGGAATGAAAATAAGGTTTGTAAGTTGATGAAATCTCTTTATGGTTTAAAGCAAGCACCAAAACAATGGCATCAGAAACTTGATGACGTAGTTTTGTCAAATGGTTTTGAATTAAACCAAGCATATAAGTGCGTATATAGCAGATTTGATGCTTCTGGACAAGGAGTTATAATTTGCTTATATGTAGATGACATGTTAATATTTAGTATTAACCAAAATCGAGTAGGGTTCAAGGGGCGGCAGCCCCTGTGGAGTCCAAGGGGCGGAGCCCCTGGATGGGGTTATTTTATTATGGACAAAGTGTCATGTTAAAAATTTATTTGAATTTTGATTGCCGAATTTTCCTCACATGATAACTTTCGGAAAGAACATAGCCCGTTTTTCTCAAAATTCGCGCAAAGGGACACACGTTTTGGACGAGAGACACGACTGCAGCCTTCTTTCCTTCCGCGGCTCTATAAATTCTGTTGTTCCTTAGTCACAAAAACACAGTTTGAAAATCCACATCAATCCATACTTGTTCTGGAAAACAATTGAGTTTTATCTGATTGATTTTTGGATTGAACAACCAAAATAATCA